GAGCACTAGTTTGCATTAAGACTTTTAAAACTCACTGAATAACACAAACAAGGCACCTTAAGTGGGTTATGCAATATAGACATAGCACCCTGCATGCAGGCTACGTCAATCTTCTAAAGCATGTGCTAATGTAATGAATTCTTGTTCGAAAAAAGCCACTACTGGTTCCCTTTGCATGGATGTTCCTAGCTGAAGACATTCCATGCATATCCAACCTTAATTCCCTCCAACTGTTTGAGCATGCATGAGCCATTATAGTTAGGTCTTGTTTATGCGTCAGTGCAAAATCACTTATAAATACCAGTATAATTATACTGGTAAGGCTTGCCCACCTCCAGTCTCCTTGGATACAGCTAAAATCCTGAAAAGTCAAGAAAATACTTGACTAGACATTTCACCGGAAGCATTTTCAAATAGCCACTTACAACAATACATCTGTTGACACCTCCTGGAAGGCAGTTTCTAACCAGGCGGGTGATGAACTGAGCTGCAGATGGACTATTGTGCCGGCTGACCCTGGAAGGCAAAGCGGCCACAGTGGCGTAATTCAGGTAGAGAGGACAGCTGTCGGTGGGGTTTGGATTCAGAGTGCTTAACGCAGATTGCCATATCTGGGGAGAAAAGAAGAATTTAAAGACAAAGCACTGGATCAGACTTTTCTTTCCATCTCATTCCCACTACATTTAGGCACTCTTTAATTGCAGGATTTTTAGGTGTCGGAAACAAAGAAATTATGCACACGCGTTTAAATGCAATAACCTCTAGAGTAAAAAGAAACAGGAAACAAAACAAACCTGTTTATTAACCAGAAAATACAAGTGTACCTTCCATTACAAGCACTTCTTTTAGGCCCTATGAATTAAAATTTAAAACCACACCATTTAGCGCAGAAGCCGCTTCAGAGCCTTTTTAAGATGAGACAGTTTCGCTACTGATAAATAAGTGGATTGGTTTACTAGTCCCGAGCTACTGTTTCACACAGCAATTTAATTAAAAACAAACAAACAAAAAAAGAAGGCTAAACATTGTTGTAAGAGGGAGTCCAGCAAAAAAGACGGCCAAAGACCTGGCGACCTCAAAAGCCGCGATGCAAAACATTTATCGTTTTACCACAAGCCGTCAGCACCGTCTAAGTAAGCAGGTCCGCGCACCCCGCCGCGCTGGCTGAAAGCAGGGGAGGGGGAAGCGCTGCCACCTCCTTCACCCTCCGCCGGGGGCGAGTCTGCCTCAGCCTCCCGCCTGCCATCTGGCACCCGAGAAAGCGCATTTCGGTCGTTACGCTAATTGCGGACATCCCCGCGTCACCTCAGGGGAGGGAGGGCAAAGCCCTCGCCCGAAGCACCCGCCCCGCGTCGAGGTGGGCGCAAGGGCTGCGGGAGCGAAGCCGCCGCGCTGGGGAAGGGCTGCGCGGCTCCCCCCCCTCCCCGCCTCAGCAACAGGCTCCCGCCGGACCCCGCTGCCGCCCCCGGGCCCGTCTCCCCTTGATGTTTCCGTTCAGGGGCCACTCCGAGGGGGTTTCACGGGGTAAAACCCTCCGGCTCTGGGCTTCAAGGCCGGCTCCCCTCAGGCGGGGCCGGCAGGCTCCCTCCC